GCTCTCGTTCTATCCATTTAACACACTGTGTCCCTCAGGTAGCCATGTATCTTTTGTCGAACGCAACCATCCCAGCTCCCTCGTGCTTTCACGATCTAATAAAGTTTATAAAGTCAAGCTCGAGTGACAACGTCATATCAATTGAAACGGCCTCTCGTGATTCCAGCTGCAGCGATATCTGCTAGTACGTCTATATCTTGCCTCGACAACCTTGACTCGTGTGAGCCTGTGGATGAAAGGAAGGGACTTTGCTCATTGGAAAAAGATGGCATTGTATGTACCCAATTTAGTCAGAACTCACGTATATTACTCGGCCCGGCTTCTCTGGGTTTTGCTAATTCAGTGACGCTTGCGACTCTTTTCGGAGATCGTCCCCCGACGAAGCCCCCGATTTCTTTTAAATTACTATCTCGACCCCTCCGTTCGTCTCCTCCACAGGAGAAAGGCGAGCCAAATCATAATACCGATGACAAGACAAGCAAGATATTGCTATCGACTGCCCTTTAGAGAGATGATAATTAGTATTCTCAGAAACCATACTCGCACTATTAGATGGAATAGACTGGTATCATAAGACGCGGTTGGTCGCACTGACCAGCCTCACACAAGTGACGCGTTGAACCCAACCATGTCCGGCCAAGAAGCCAGTACAAGCACCAGCATCACCATAGCCGATGCCAATCAATACGATGGTAGAAAGCGAGCACATCGAGGAGACGATGGCAGTAAACCAGCCAAAAGGCAGAAACAGCTTTCAAAGGAAGAGCGGCAACAGGTGTCCTTCCAGAAGGACATTGCGCGGTTACGTGAGCTGGTAGCTAATTTGAAAAATTGCTTCGAGGAGTACGGTTTGGTGGATAATCCCACCAGGATGTCTATCAACAACATATTACCCAGTTTGTGCACCGTGATCCTGGAGAACCCGCCCCGTGCCACAACACTCAAGGTGCTTCTACGACCCATCTCAACGCTCGAGGATAATGAGTCCTTCCAACGTTTAGACTCCCGTGAGTGACCATTCCTACTGCATCGTGCCGTGAACTAAGATATTTGGATTAGCGGAACAAGAGAATTACGGATTTTCCGTTCAGAGTGTGAATGATCAACTTGAAAAAGTTGCCAACGTCTACAAAGAGATGCTAGAAGACGAACAATATCCACCATCGGCTAGTCACTACGCCACTCCAGCCGTCTGGGCCAAATGGCAGGGAAAAGAGACTGCAATTCTTAACCTTCGTCCAAGCACCAACCAGGGTCTGCCTCTATCTACGCTTAATCTAATCTTCTCTCGCTTCTACGCTACTTTCGAACAGCAGCCATCGGAGGTAGTTGCCATGCAGGTCGCTCATAATCTATGCGTCACAATGGCCAGTTCCTTTAAGGATGAACGGGCCCGTGGAGGCGCATTCGTGGATTGTGTGAGGCCTATGTTCAATGGTTATGACTTTAGAACGGAGGTAGAGATGAATTCTAGTCTGGAGCGGCATTCCTCAAAAGCCGGCCTTGTCCTCGTTCATGGAATCAGAGAAGTTCTAGGAGGCGAGTACAAGTTAGAGTGTGGAACAGGCGACGCCTATATGCAAATATCTCGCGTGTACCAAACTTGGATCAACCACTTAAAGGATACTAAGTCACTCGCGCTTGATCATGGCGCCCCCTTAATCCTCATCTGCGTCATGGGTTAGAGTACCGTCCTTTGATTCACTCACTAATCGACTGACACAAATGCTCCAGGTCCAGTATTCATTGTTTCGGGTGGTTTCTATGATGGGAGCTCTGTTATCGTTGAACCCCTTGCACAACCTTGTCTCATGCTGCCAGATTATCGCCACCGGCGGCAAAGTCAGCTTGCAAGTATGCTACTTGCCGTTAAAGAGGCAGTAGAAGGACTTTGGCAGTAAGTCTGTTCAGTCTTCCGAATGATACAAATTACTTACAAACCGCGTTGTGACGTTGGAGAATCGACTATTCCGTTCCCGGTGCTCTCAAACCGGGTCTTCCTAGAGTCTACCCGTCGTTTACCTCTTTTGAAAATCGGACCATTGGGTTGAAGTTTGAATCAAGACTAGTTTTAACCAAGGACTCGAAGCGCGACCTTTTGTTTCTCGCTACCTGTGAGGACTCGCCTCAACGAGTTCTCGTCAAGCTCGTCACCGATGATCATTACGGAGTCGATGTCCACCGAAAGCTGGCTGATGCAGGATATGCACCCACCCTCTTCGGTATGGCGGAAGTTGACGGTGGACCCACTGCGTATGTGATGGAATACCTCGCCCCAGAAGATGGTTGGACCATCTTGGTTGAATACCTAAAACAGCATAACCAAGGCATGCGTTCCCGTGTCATAGTCGCGGTGGGTCATATCCTCGACCTTATGGAAAGCAACGAGATCGTTCATGGGGACCTGCGACCCAATAATATCATGGTGCGTGAGAATCAAGGGAAATTGGAACTAAAAGTGGTAGATTTTGATTGGGCTGGGGCAAGTGGCGCGGTTACATATCCATTCCGGCGGAATGAGAACATTACTTGGCCTGCAGCGGCTGGAGATCCCATAGTGGCTGGACACGACCGCTTGATGGTGGAGACTTGTTTGAACGAAAAAGTCAATAAGCGCTCCATTTAGACTGCTCATGGGGTTGAACCTATGGACATGAAGCGAGTGGGATGAGGTGCAATGAGCTGATGATATTGTGTTCCGAATACAAGTCACCAAACACTACATTCATTATTTAATGCTTCCTTGAGACTGGAATGCCCGTAGCAAGACAAGCCGCAGCTAAAATTCAAATGGGTATATTAATAGATAGATAATAGTATTTTTGATTCATAATGCGGTGTAGAGCTCAGTAGCTTACGTATAGACCGTAGCAGAAGGTTGCAAAATTTGGCCCAAAACTACTTGAGACTTATTCCGCCGCTTCGCCCTAGGCTCAATTTTGCGTGACCTTATTCCTGACCTAAAGGTCAGGTCTTGTTTGCCAAAATTCGGTGCTTGTTAAGGCTCTTTCCTTTGACAACTGAATCGAGTTTTGAAGGACTGGACCGAGGACTGTCCCTCATCTCGACCAAACTTTAGTCGTCATATCGGAAGCTTACTACGATCATTCTTCCTGAATAATACTTTCTCAAAAGCTAGCTTATTCCTTAGTGAGATA